GGAAATGTGATTTGATAATAATTTCATCAAATAATTAATAGTTCAACCACCCATACACACTGAGGCGGTCAGATAATGTTCCTACATGTTTATTACACTGGCTCTAAACGCGACCATTACAAGCGACACTGACAGTCAAGAAGCTTCTAATTGAACGTCATAAAGACCTAGCACCACTTAGACATTAGAATACTCAAAGTTGACAAATAGCCTCATAATTATATTTATTTTTCTTATGACTTAGAAGCATTAGTGTTTAACGATTGTATTCTTAGAATCGATCAGGAAACATAAGGGTAGGGAGCAGGTCTTCTTAAAAGTTGTTGTGTACTTGAATTGCAATTTGCAACCTTGGCCCTGTTGTAACAAGTTTATTTGTAAGCAAAGCCTACGCCATGAAGTTATAATTATGCCATTTTAATATTATGAAAGACTACAATATGGTATGTTGTAGATGTTGATAGCCCATACAACGTTTGTTATTATATGCATTTAGGCACATATTCTAGAGGATTGAGAAAAATTTTATTTTTCTTAGGACAAATTATCTAACTTTATTTAAGGTGTAACAATGTTACATTCTAATTATTTGAAACTAAAGGTATAAAAAATGTGCTTCGAATCAGTGAATAAATAATGTTAAAAGAAATTATACGACAAAAAAAATAAACTTCAAAAGTTTATGTCGATATAAACACTAACTTTTATGTAAAAAAGAGATTAGGATATGTGTTTCTTTGTAACAGAATTCACGCATACCTTATAAAAACTACATACTTTTTTATAAATTCATTTTCAGTATGCTATAAAAGTAATTATCAGTGCCGGCCAACATTAAAGTTTTAAAAATGAAACAAGAAACTTTGTATCCTCAACGGGAGCTAATAAACCGAAGTGCAATATCAATCAGGAAACGTAGCCTTTTTATGGGATCTATAAAATATAAGTTTCATAAACACAAGTTTAATATTTTATACGCAACATGGATCACATTTAAAGCAATTAACGTTCATAACCTACATTTTCTCGGTACAGCATCGATATTTTGCCAAGTAAATAAACCTAAATAAAGTTTAGCTTATAATTAGTTGTTTCTTTAGACATGGCCGACATTTAACCTGAAATGTTATCTTAAAGATAGATGCTTTTATTTTGGTATTAGTTGTTTTGATCTATATCTGCATTAACTACATTAGAATAATGTCAAAATTTAGTTTGATTTATCTTTATCATGAGAAACGATACAGAAAATCCTTAGGCTTCATATAAATTACGGATGCTGTATGGTCTACAAATATAAACATACGTAGCATCTTTATAATTATTTTTTTGCTGTCTCTACTTACACAAGAGTAGGATTAATTTGGTTTTCTTAAAAATAATTTAAGACGGGGAAGTAGTTGCGCTGGTATTATCCTATTAATTCTATTATAATAGTACTATTTAAAGCTCTAAGCTTACGTCATGTCATTAAACGTGGGCACGACAAGGAATTTTATCATACAAATCACGCAATATTAAGCAATTAGAATAGTCAGCTGAATCTGATAAGATTTGCAAATTCTCTAGTGTCTTATTTACATTCCTTCATGATAAAAACTAAAAAATAAATAATTACTGTATACGACACATTACGATAAGAGAAATTAAAGTTTTATCTTCAACATAAATAAAATACTCCACGGCTATGATTTGTTAACCAAATATATAATAAATAATACACGATAACTGCGTATAACCATTTATAAGTACGAGCTATCATTCAAAGGTTCAAAGCTATCCTGGGCATGAACATACCAAACCATAATAACGCTCATTCATCTGTCATCAGATAATAAAATATAAATTTGAATACGTAACGCACATTACAATAAATTCTATATAATTACTATTGAATCATAAATACTATTAGAATAATCGTAGTTCTCAAAGCGTTCCGATGTCACCTTCAAGATAGTAACTGCAGCTTTCTAGTAAATGATACGTAAAACCGCAAATGGACTTAGAAAATCGCGATAAAGTTTAATAGGCTGGAGGGACATACTCACGTTGACAACGAACAGTTAAAATAAATTGATTTATCGTTTATTGGTCAAGCGTGGACACCAGACGTCTTCTGTCAGGCGAGCTACTAACGGCCCAATACACACACTATCAGGATTTATGTCCCATGGGGTCTAATGTTTGGACTCCGTATAATTGGTCGGCTATGCCCCGCACGCGTCTTACACGAACGCTAGACGAATTCGGAAAGTGTAATAAAAGCAAACGCTGCATGACATTATCCGAACCTCAAAGTACAAAATAGAGCAACACGTTATTGCTTATGTTATTTTAGTCTGAATTTGCAAATTACTTTTATTTATATGCAGTAGACGAAAATCGACATAAATTCGAAACAACAACAATATCTATTTAAATTACGTTGAAATTAAGCGTATAAACGTAGGCTATAAAACAGTAAGATAATTATTTTTGTTTAATTAACCATTATCCAGTATAGTGTGTTTTTTCCTTAAACACTTTGTGTAGACATATATATAGGTATATATATCTTAGCTGTTATTTCTTAACAAACTTTCGAAAAATTCGCGTCATGTATCAATATACAATTTCGCCAATTATATTTAACATGTTATATATAATTAGTGCACTTAAACGTTTTCAGAAACAGAAACAATTTCGTGTTTATTAGCCAAGGGTGTGTTTACGTCGTTAAGTATATGAAAGTCGGTGAAATATCATAGTATGGCCTTTAATATAACCGGATGGTATAATATCGGTTGTAAAATCCCCGCGGGTGCGAGCGCTGGAGCAAAACCAACAAAACCTGTCAGCTGCAGGGCCATGGACATGCTTCGCGGTATACGAGATTGCTTTGTAATTGATGCGAGAATCAATTTATGCTAACCTGCGACCGGTTGCTGGTATCCCTTGTTAAAGTATGCCATAAAGTTATGTTTTAATTTCACAATGCCACCGTATGTTTATTTTATACTAGAAGACCTGGCGAACTTCGTATCGCCCTATAATCAAGAAATATCTATTACGTTTTTTTATTTATATTTTTGGAGTTTACCTGTAAGCCAAAAATCTCCGTGTTTTTAAGTGCGACAGAATGATTCACATATGTATTAGTTAGTTGTCAAATCTAATGTCAAAAAAAACGTTTGTATGGGAAATAGAAAAGGGCTGTTTTATGGTTTTAACAGTAATGAATCAATTTTTTTTAGCTTTTATACCTTCCCTGAACCTCCACGAACATTTCAAGACTAAGATAAGATAAATCCGTTCAGCTGTTCTCGAGTTTTAGCGAGACTAAGGAACAGCAATCCATTTTTATATATATAGAAGATTATGTTAGGGATTCGATAACATTCTAGCGGTCATTTAGGAATGATTGCCGCAGTAATATCACAGGTAATGAAGCTTAGAGTATAACGCTACATCATAAACCAGAGTATAATATAAACTGTTTCTTACGTCAATAATATGTACATTCTGTATTATAATTGTCTATTTGGCGCCATGTCTACATATTAATTAGTATTATGTTCTTTAATTGAAAATATTCTAAGAAACTAAAGCCATTGATATAATTGAAACCTAGCACATTAATTAAATAACCCTTGGCTGGAATATAAACTATAATGGTATATAAATTGACAATATAACATGCCTCATATAGATAACTTCATACTAACGCGGGTTTTATTCTAAATATATATTTTTTATTTCCTTTTTCTTAAGCTTTTTAATAGGATAAAATTAAGTTTTAAAGAATATTTTACGTAATAAAAACATTTGTAAGTACTCTGAAATTGTTTTAAAATTACGTTCTTATCTTTTATTTAACATAGCATAAAAGGAAGCCGCAGTTCGCATACAGAACTCTTGTGTATTATGGCAGTATAATATATGTTTACTAACATAAGATTGGTCTTTACAGAAGGCAGTTAGCATTAATATATTGTAATGACAGTTTACGATCACCGCCGTGTAATTATAACATGTGCATAAAGCACAATAGTATATTTAATAAACAATAAACATGCTACTATTTAGCACACTACTGATAATATATGTTTAATTTTTTAAAATTACAATGAAAGTATAAGTTAATATAACATTATAACGACGTGTAAGTGTGAATGTTAAAATATTCACAATCTTTTACACACCTTATCAAGTTTTCATTAAAGTAAACGAATGACGAAAATTCCATAAAGATAAGTGTTAGCCATTAATAGTGTGCAATCAAAGATCTTCATGAGAAATTAAACGCTATCTTCAATATGATCGTATAATTTCTCCAATTAATATTATATGTACATATATATGTATATAATTATCAATCTATTATACAGTCTTTATACTTAACGATGTATACTTTCTGTGACATCGCTGACTGAGTGTTTCCAGTGACACTTGACGTGTAACAGTTCGATGATAGAAAGTGAAACTATCAAATATTGATAGAGACGATCGATGATCGTTTAAAATGTTATTAAATAAGACGCGGCCCGACAAGAGTCAGCATGATACCACAAGTGTATTATGAGATACAGCGTTTCACAAATAATCAATAGTTCACAGAGATTTCTTTTCTCAATTAGCATCTAATCAAGGGAGTCATTTAGTAGAACCCAATACACGATTTATGGCTGCGGATCGAAAACTTTCTCACGCGCTACACATCCCAGATTCAGCGCACCGCACTCCGTTTTATGGTCGCTACTTAGATTATGTTCTATGATTGCTTATTTTGAATGGATTTATGATGTTGGCAATAAATTTACTTAGCAGTTCAAACGATTTCTACTACAAATGGATGCTGGATACATTCTCTGCTCACGTTACCATTTAAAATAAAGCAATTTATCAATCGGAACTAGATTCATAACGATTTGAACGAAACATTCAGTTCGTGAAAGCTGTAAGAAGCATTTTCTCATCTGTATGATTGACAGGGAAATGATTCAAATTAGAAGTTTTATTTAATGTACGGCGATGATTCGTTATGTGGGGAAGAGATTAATTGTCGTGGAAAATTTCAGATATTTGAAAAGAAAGGCTTCAGTTCAGGGCGGGCGGGGAGGTGCGCGTACGCACGGGGCGTGGTCCTATCGCTCTATTTGCGCCAGAGCCGCTTCGGATGCTGCGGCGGACGCACCTGTCGTCACACCGCGGACCACACGCCCGCCGCGTTTATTTGTATCGCAAAATAAAATAGCATGCTTTAGACACACGGTGAGATGATTCAATGTGAGTGTTCAGTGAAAGTGACATTTAATTTTTAGAGACATCTGCGTGTACGCACCGCTCGACTAACCCTAGGTTTGTGTAAACATTTATCACTTAAACTAATATGTAAGTTTTTTTTTCTTATGTTTTGCAAATATTCTATTGAAAATTAGAGCTAATAAATATGTTAAGATTTACCTCTTATATATTTGACATATGTATTATAATAACTTACGATATGTAAAACAGCACAAAATTATTCTTGAAACAGGAAAATTGATAATCGTTAATAAAATTTATGAATCGCGTATGTAATTCATTGCAATTTATTTATTTTTTTAATAATGTTCTAGAACTTTTTTAAACTATAAAAACACCTAAATATATATGATCTCTAAGAAAATTATGTAGCCGGTGAACCAGTAAACACTGTTTTAACTCAACAGTGTCCAGTATCGACTTTTTGACCGGTTTGACAATAAGGTTCCGAGTGGATGAATACGGGTAGACATCTGTGGTTTAATACATTTTTTTATTGTAAAAACATACTACATAAAAGTAACTAACAATTGATACAAGTAATATAAAAATAACAAAAAGGCCTCATCTCAAGCCCCGAGCTTCGTCATTCTACTCGCGGCGATTTCATATTGGTCAAGGTAACGCTTGTTTGTAAAGCCTTTGACTGATTATTTTTTGTTTCGCTAATTTCGGCCGCCGAGTCTGATTTGTGGAGCTTTTGTTTTAAATCATCATTTTAACCTGCATTTTTCGGTATAACACATTTGTTAGTCTAGCGAGTTGTTTCACAATTATTCAAATATAATCGAATGAGATGACGAAAAAAAAACTAGTTTAAACGTTGTTTTCTTAAGTCGTATTGTATTTTTAAAAATCGATGAATGTCTGCCCGTCCTTGGATAAAATATGGCATGAATGCGAATTCATCATTTTCTTGTTATTGCTTTGTAGGCATAAGAAACTTTGTTGAAACGGTATGAAATAAAAAATAACAAAAGAAATAAATTTAGATTCTATTAGCAATAATCATGTCTATTTTAAATTAATATTCATTGTTCTTGTATAGTTGATTGATCAAAGGATACATTATCCTCCCATACGATCCACTTTCACTGCGGGCCACACGTTCGAGTTCAGCTTCCGTGTAAGCGCCTTAGGTGACCGGAGCCGTAGCTTATATTCTTAACAATCAATCACATTCCAACCAGAACCCGGTCCTTATTTCTCATAAGCGATCTACATTCCATTTCCAGAACATGGTCGTAATAGAAAATAGAGTTTGTGCTCGCCACATGACTACTAGCTAATAATTTCAATTACATTCGTTCGTCCAGATACAAACCGCTTCGATGTAAGAATCGTGCGTTATTATGACTTATTTGTAACCAATTTCCTAATGTTTTTCCTAGATGAATAATATAAATCAGCTTTTACCGTCACGAAGTGCTAGTTCTAGCTAGCGAGTCGTACGTTGAGAATATTAAATTACGGGAATATCAATGAGCGTCTGATAATTTTATCAAACAATAATTCGGTAAAAACATTAAAAAAGTAGTACTATAATAAAACTATATTTATTTCGGTGGCGGTAACTATTTGCATTGAAGGGTATTTTATTAATTTGGGTGGTATGCATGACAACGTGGGCAAACAAACTGCAAGTGGCCCGTACGACACAAGTGCGTAGTATTTGCTTATCACAAACATCGCTCCCGACACGTCTCCCAACACGAAGCTGATAATATTGCTCTACACAAAACAAAACATGCAACAGACGAGCAAGGAGACGTGCATTAAGATAAATCACTCTAAAAGGATACGAAACTATTATGAAAGAATCGTTTAATGTGTGTGAAATACTCTCCATACGAATTATATTGTAAATAAAACAATTAACGGTTGTCATCACATCACTGCCATAAAAGAAAAACATAAATAAAGTAATAATTTATAACTATAATAATTAAATCAGTGTATTCAAATTTAAAACTGAGTCGGAATAAATTAGGGAAACAGCAACGTTTATTCGGCTATAAATCACTTATGCAAGGGACTGATTTATTGATGTAGTATCTATAAGTTCTTTGAATAAGTAACATTGTTTTCTTAGCCTCTTTATGAGATGAGAGAGAAAGTATCTGCACATAACATTTCGTAACCTTTTAAAACAAGAAAACCTACGGCTCGATTTGTTTTCTTAGAAAATCTTTGCCAATACGTAATAAAGCTAAGTTGCTATGTTAAAGACTCAAAGACACTCGCTTCACGATTGTAACGATAAATGAAACATCTATTAAGAAACACTTTAATTTAAACACATAGTGTTGACTTATTTCAAATAACATAAACATACGAATGAACACTATTTACATAGAAATCAAATTAAACGAAGCAATAATCCTACATGTTTATGTTATACCGGTTACAATTATACAAAACAAAATCATTAGAATGCTTTGTTGAAAACACATAATTTAATTCAAAGAAATAGTTTCCGTAAACTACGTAACAGTTATAAAGAAAAATTAAAATGCATCATAAACAAACACACACACAAACTAAAATGATAGGATCATAAACTTATATATCAATGAGAAGTTTAAGGAAATCAAACCATGTTGCAGAAATTTATACCACAACACTTTTTTTATCTCAGCAGCTACTGATCAAAAGAAACTATGATTACGTTAATAAAGTTATTAATATCATAGGAAACTGGTTTCATATCAAACCATCTGAGACCATCCGACTCACAGTTAAACAGAGATTTTACAAGTTCGTTGACAAATTACCGAGTCAGTGAGACTCTAATCGTTATTTATCTTATTTGAACGTGTATAGAAATGAAACGAGATTAAAAAAAACGTGCAACCGCCATGTAAATAGAGAACATCAAGTCAAACAAAACTAGGATATATTTAATCCTTAGCAGCGTGGTTCATAATGTCATGTTGAGTTCCCATTTTTACGTCTAATTCCAAAAAGAATGTGTGCCTCGAAATGAGACCATATGTAACATACGATGCATTCCAAGCAGCAAAGCTACTTATAGGCTACCGGCACTGGCCACTTAAATTTTAGGCCATACTGTCCGTTTCGTATTATCTTTTATGTTTAAAAGCAATTTTACTAACACGAAGCTCAACTAGACATTCAACTCACTACAGATATTGAACCTCTTCACAAGCCTCTGCTATCTATGAATCAACCTTAAAATTTTTCTATGAAAGTCATCGTAATGTCAACAATGACATCATACGTCATTTTCCTTGTATCTTGTATTTGTATAACTTATAAAATGTTAATGACTATTATACGTGTCACTTACGAAAAAAAGAAAATTATAATATAAAATATTAATAACTACATAAAAACTTCATCGGAAATTAGAATTGATTTACCATAATATAAAATTAGGCCGAAATTTACATGCATCGATATGTTTAAACTAATTGATTAATATACATAAAATTTTTTGTAATAAAATCATTATTCATTTGAATTACAACACGTTGGTAACATCAATGTGAAATTTAAATATAAATATATGTATTCGATATTAATTACTTATTATCTTGCGGATGGACACAAATCAGTACAATCTATCGCCTTTTCCTGGTTTAATATTTTATTGAGTATTTGGTTAGTTCTGTTTGTAATATGGATTAAATTATATTTTTATTAACACTAAGATGATAAGATTAGTGAGCTGTCAGTGTGTTCGTATGTTATGTAGTGTTGCTCAATCTGAGTGCACTACGCTGGCTGTCCACGATGACACGATAACCTGACACTAGCATGTTTTGACAACGCATTGTTATATAGAGATGATTATCTATACGTGTATTACAATGTAACGTCCGATAATAAGGAAGAAACAATTAAATGTAACACGTTATGATGTAATGTTAGAGATTGTCAACATTTTCGTTTGTGATGAGATGAATAAAAAACTAATCTCTCCAGACACAAGGCAGTTAGATATTTAGAAAAGTCCCTTCTATGTTAAATTTTCTTAAAAACCCTTATAACATTGATAAATCATAAATATTTTACACGATTTAACAATATTTTAAATAGTAATTTATAAAAAAAAATACGAAGTGCTATTAAAATAATATGAACATCACACTTATCATTTGCTAAGGAGTATTAAATGACGCATTCGTAGACAGAAATTAACTTTCAGTTTACGTCTTTATGACTTATAGACAAGTGAAACATTATTCTCGGTATGTGGCTACGCAATACATATATCACTTCATTAGAATTCATCAAACACCTGCATTGTTAACAGAAATAAACTTAAAAATAATAGTAAATTTCACCATGTTAAATATATTATATCGAATAAAAAAATAAATAACTTCTTCATAGAAAATGAAATCTAATTAAAGCTATTAAAAATAAATGAAACTGAACTAAATAACTTTAGACTGGTCGGACTGGCAATAATTTGTAAAAGCCTTGGGCAAAAATACGCAATTCAAAAGATGTTAATGTGCATCAATTTGATATGATATCGAAACTAAAAGTAATATACCTAGTGGCAAAACATAAATGATCACAATATTAGGAATAGTTTAAAATAACTTCACTTAAGAAGCAGCAACACGCGAAGGGTTAAAATAATTTTGGGAATCATCTCCATAATGACACAAAATAACTTAATTACAATAGACATAGAAAAAATTACAATTTCATTTTTATACATATTTCTTTAAAAAATGTTTACTCTAAAACATTAAAGTTAGACTCAAATTTCTAATAATAAGTTTAAAACGTCATAATCTATAAAAGACATAGATAAAATTTGTCTAAAAAAATTAAGCTGTATCAATTTACATGAGGGTGACAAATTCTTAAAAGCCTTCGTTTTTGTCCATTAGATGTTTCATTGTTTTAATGTCCCAATACAAAATGTCATCTTAACTATAAACATATAAGTGTATTTCAAACAACTTCTAACTATAAAAAACGAAGGAGTTATTATAACTGGTCACGTAAGTAAAAAACTTTAAGGATAAAACATTCCATTAAAATTGCATTAGCGCTATAAACTAAAGATATTAATATTTCAAAGGACCGTTTATTGCTGGCGTTACAAACACATAGGACTTAAACACAGGCTCATCTTAAACGTTAGTTAAACCGTGTTTTAATAAATTTGAGGAATCAAAACAGCATGCCACGTAGTATATGTTGCGTTAAAACGTAATATTTGAAGTAACATACAATTGCGATGACATAATCTATTAAAATGTAAACAAAAGGTCAAGTTATCTTTAGGGCTAGTTGTCGATAGGCCGGCTCTGGCCGCCGTGCAGTCTGTCGCGACATTTAACCCACTTTCGCACACCTACTTCACATTACTTCAGTTAAACAAAATTTCAATACAATTTCGCACTAATAAAAATATATTAATCATATGGAAAAGAAAATTAAAGTTCAATGGTAAATACATATCAAAACTAAATGAATTCGCAATGACAAAAGTTTGAGTGTCGAATAAATAATATTCTAAATGTTAGGTAAGCATTTAACGTGATCTTAGTGAATTCATCGCTATCTCAGTATATCAGCGAAGTTTACATTAGGCTGCTATTGCGAGAGTAAACTGAGCGTATGTCTTGAGTACACACGACGTCGCTCACAAATATTTTGAAATTTTTAAATCCCCTGGATGAAGGTGTTACTATGGAAAGTGAGTAGATTCATATCAACTCATTAACGCATCGAATGGTCGTGATATTAAACATTTTTATTTTATAAAACTATTACTTAGGAATTTAAATGCCGTGACTCACAAGTTTCGCAACTTACAGCAAATTTATAACCTGCTACTCGACGACATTCCACGATCCCTAGCTACTGTTTACAAACTGCAATTTTTGCTTCACACTTTCATTGATTTTAACATTTTTTACGTAATTAACAACAGAGCTTTTAACATATTCCAATTTTTATATTCAGTAATTCATAGTATACACTTTAAAAATATTTGACTATATTAAACCTTAAAAGACGTAGTCTTATCTGGCATAAATAAAAAACAAAGTATACTTAAATTGTGTCAAAAGTGGTATAATATGTATGTCTAATTTTCTTTTCATTAAAATATGAGAAGATCTTTTTATTTACTAATTATTATTTATAAATTTTTTCTTAATTGAAAAATTTTCTCAGAAAAAAGAACTTTAGGGAGCCCGAAAGTTATACACACGCATACTTAAGATAGAATATGGAAAGAAAAAAAGGGCTAACTTGAACCTTTCTGTATATTTTTTATCATGTAATTATTATATTTTAACATGATAACAAGTGACCACATTTCTATTGTTAACAGTGCTGTAATAAAAAATCTAATTTGTGGCCTTCCGTTCACATTCTAAAACGGAAGCCGCATGACTTGGCAGAAAAAAAACAATTAATATCCTTTTTATACAACAAAAAATATATATATGTGAAGCAGATAAATAAGAATAATATAATGTTCGTGTAGCACCGCTTAGAAATTTAAACGTGATCTCACCAGGAAGCTTTTATACAATAGGACAAGGGAAGGACAAGACAGGCCAACGACTTCTTTAAAAAACAAACAAACTCCTTTAAAATAAGACACCTGCTCCGTAAGCTGTTACTTTATATAACTTAACATTTGATAATTAAGTACTCATAGTATCATACAACTATAATTAAATAAGAATTCTTTGTGTCATAAAAAAATCACTTCGAAGAACATTCTACGTAACGCGTGATGTTAATTATGATTACTGCATTAAAGAAGCCGTAACAAGCGTTAGTGCTCTTTAGCCATCTTGGCAAGTCTCCAGTTCTACTGAACTTTGACAAAACACCGGCGTTAATTGCTCATCTGCAAATCGAATCTCCTGTTACAGACTGGAGCATGAAAATTTATTTACCGCAGTTTTACGCCCCATAATTATTATTACAGATACTGACCACCACTAGAGGTACAAAATACATCATGTAACATTACACTTGCATTTCGAGCCCCCAATATGCTAAAGGTCGACGCTCTCCGAAAATATGCCTTTTTTCTTTTAGCTTTATGATCAGTTTCGTGCTTTACAAATAAAAGCATGATAAGCGGTTTCCTTATTGAACATTTTATAAACCGTATTTATTTTAGGCATACGTTTAACAAGACTTAATTCAATAGAGACAGATCGCCATTCTATAAAGATTTCTAAAGATGCGGGGTATCTAATAGTAAATAATCATTTATTCTCATTACCAAAATGTTTTTTTGATTTCTATTGATCAATAAGATGTATGTTGTCAGTTTTCGAGTTCATTTATCGCGTCAATAAATCTGTTAGATGGGAATTTGATCGGAGTTCAATTAACAGAAGTGATACATATCACATAGAGGCGGCCGTAACGAATTAAGACAATGTTAAATGGGCACAGAATGTCAGCTGGCAATGAAAATACACGGTAATAAATAAATTTATAAATATAAAGCCTTTTGTTATTGATATTGATACAATACTTTCCTTTATTTTATAAGCATATTCTTACTAATTACTTATTACATTATCGACCAAAATTTTCGTAATTGTCATCTTCAAAAACTAAAAGATTCATCTATAAAGTTTTTTTAAATCAGTTTTATAGGTTTATAAAATTAAACATGGGCTATAATTAGAACAAAAATATGTACATCCCATTAGATTAACGCTGGATTTATCAAAATTACAACGCAATCCAGAGACCTTTCTGAGATTAAAGAACTTAATTCACTACCATCAATATAATTATTAACGTAGATGAATCACAATATTCGACAATTGGATTATGCAATGGACAATACGAGCGTTGAATGAAAGCAGACGTTTGATGATGAGTTGTGCTTGGTTGCGTTTAGACACAGTGTCATATCATAATCCAACGGCTCGGGGTCCACGAACTGCACAGGAATGCAAATAAATAGATGCACAGAGCACACCTGCCCGTGATCCAAGGAATAAACAATGCATGTCAACACGCCAGAAGAATAAAGGTACGCGTACGTCCAGTCACGATAAACTACATCTTCCGGAACAGTCCTAAGACTATTGATGTCTTATAGCTATAAAATCTATTTATAAAACTATATTTGTTAAGCGTATGCCTTACCTTCGCTTTGATGCTCGATTGCTCATTTAGCTTTATACCTTTAGAGCTTTAAAATTATTTGTTTAACGAAAACATTAAGCAGAATTTCGATACTTGAACAAAAAGCAAGTTTTCATTGTTTATTATGAATTCTGTTATGTTCAAACAAAAGTGAGGAATACCAATATAAAGGTATAAGACACAAAGCAGACGTAACGAGTATGGTAGGTTAATGATATCAAGCAAAACATGAATGAATAATCTTAATCTGGTCGTTTATAAAGGTATAATGGTTTGAGTTTTATTATAGCAACAACACTTTGTTGTACACAACACGTTCCCATTCATCAACCGCGTCAGTTAATTACTCATGTTGGAAAAACTTATAATTTCACTGAATCTTCAAACACGCACAAAAAGTTACATTACACGGATGCAATTTGTACTGTTTTTGCTCAATTTATTAAACTTCATAGCATTTATCTTTTGAGTGTAATATATTAATAATTTAAATATTCTACTTTGGCATACATTAAAGGTTAATGATGTTGATTTATAGTGATTGATTGATAATCGACTGACATCATTTTTTACAATTAAAAAGCTGTCATTATTTATTATGAACTTCAGAAATTAATGATACCTTAGATTTTCGTGTGTAATCATTTAAATGAAAATAAGATTTTCGGTTACTACCCGTTTTCTATTATTTATAGGTAATCTCGAAATTTGGGTTCCTTTACAGCAAGTAGCAACTCACGGGCAGACGAGATAAAAGTGTCATTTTTTGTAAAAATATAGTTATTAAATAAAACAAAAAACTTAGTTTCATTTACAAATTAAAATCTGGGATATACTTATATTATGATAATTTTATCCGACTACAGTAAAGAAGGCATAATTATATTTAAAAAAAGTTCGTTTTGTTTACTCGGAAGCGATCATTAAATTTTCATAAAGTAGTAGGTACATGACTGCAAAAAGGTAATTTTGTGTATGACACGGTTCAATGACATTTTCCTCACACTACATCCTATTACCGTATTTGCTGATGTCAATAATTACTCACAATTTATCTCATCTTAGTCACTTAAAATTTCAATACTTATATTTACATCTTTTCTTGTAAGCTGACCCACACGCATATTAACAAATTAAATTAATTTTTTGGACTATCTAACACAAGCTGTTATTTTATTTTTAAAAGAGAAAGTATTGATTTAATTTAAAAATAAGGATTTATTTAATGAATCGTCATGAACAATACTATTTTTTAGGATAATTTTAAATGCAATTTTAAAGAATTTTAATAAACTTGACAAAATAGAGAAAACCATAATAATGCACCTGAATTGAAATATGTAGCTATAGTTTTATTGATAAAAGATGCTGGTAACCTATAAGCACCACTGGTACCGGTCAGCCACATTATACTGATGTAGTGTGTGTTTATGTGTGTATGTATGCGTTTGTGTGTGTAGATTAGCTTTGCTCTACAGATTCATTTTCCAACGTCCTCTAAACTTTATAAAGTAAAATGTTCGCACGCATCTAAAAGAATTGGTAGAAACAATCAGTTTCACTATATATATTTTGATTGTGTTTTAATAATATGTAATTTTAACAGACGGGGCGATGTTAAGTGTGACCGTGGCGGCGCTAGCGTGCCTCTGGCTGGCGCGCGCCTCGCCGGCAGACCCGCACGGGCTGCGGACACTCAACGGTTACACAAACAAGGTATATAAACATTATATTATATATTATAAGACTATATAAAGTTATCCTCAATGACGTCCCCCAAAGCCCTCCAAGGGAAAAATTATGTTGTTTCAAGATAAGACGTAGAGTATAACAAACACCAGATACAGTTCCGAATATAAAAATATTTTTTCCTATTAATATGTGAAAAATACTTATCGGAATGTGCAAAAATTATGAAAATTATAACTGTGTAAACCCACAGTAGCTTATTTGGCAAAGCGGCTGGGACGTGATTTACCGGAAGTCTCGGGTTCGAATCTTGGCAGTCGATGAGTTTTTGTTTTATATATTATTTGTTTCAATAATAAATATTGCAGACATCAAAAATTCATCCGACTGTAATCTACGCTGTAATTATTTACAACAATTACTATTTACTTTAAATTATTTTTTACACATGTATGTATGTAGCAGTTAGCAACTTAGGAACACAAACACCGACAACAACGCCAAATTTTTTGCAGTTCTTAATTGTATTTTCAATTACGATAAACCGTCTAACATAGCAAAATGTCAAGCAGTGTTATTTACAAAATGATCTTAAATGCCCATGTTTAAAATTCTATTTAAAAAAAACATGTAAAACTATTGTAAGCTCCACCTTGACCTGGCTTCTGATCCCAGTCGAGTGTCATAGAAAAAGCTTGGTTTTAAAATAAAAACAAAGCAGGCATCTACATTCATTATGAATTTTTTAAGTCTCAAGAACCTTTAAACCCAAGTCTAAATGAGAGATAAATAGCCACTTGGTGGAGAAGCTCTAGTTTAACGTCTAGTTTATTTCGTTACAGGAATTGGGCAGCATATTGGCGAGTATTGACGAGCGACTCAGAGTACTGGACACAATAAGCGCTGTGCAAGCGAAACAAGCCCGTCGACTAGACGTCATACAAGACAAACTGGGTGAATATAAGAATAATTCATTCACACATTCATTTATTCATTGAAACAACGTTGCATATTGCATTATGGAAGACACTACAAGAAAATAAACTTGACTATAATAGCGAATCATCATTTGCCCATGATATGGCACGCAAAAACGAAATAACTCTGTTTGTTAAACATGATCTTGAAGACGTAAGAAGTCTACTCAATTATAATACATTTATAAGTTAACAAAAGGTATTACGATCCCGCGGAATTATTGGAATAAAAAAGATTAAGTAGTGTTGTTAATCGGACAATTACCTCGGTTTTGTCGGCGCTATGACAGTTATTGATTACTTTAACGATAACTTATTTAAAACACATAACCTTTCTATATTTCACTAAAAGATTTACCGTTTTCTTCTGAGATAATATTTCTTGTCGAACAGTTATGTACGTTAAGTAAAAAATATTTAAAGATTTTATTAAAGTTTAATTTCTTTGAAAATATCTATGAAGGACAAATTGTATTACACTAAAACAAAATCTATGCTAACAATGCACACATGTATATATCCCGACCTAAATTTAATGTTAGTATTTAGGCTGGAGTATTTCTCAATAGCCAACAATGATTCAGAACATCCTTATTGTGTCATATCCTATTTTAGAAGCACAGAGTAATGTCAACTTTCGCAATATTGATGGCAACCATTTATCATTTGCAATTGACCAAATAGGGGCACCACTTAAACAATGGTTTGTGATACTCTTTGAAATATTATAATTGGTATGCATGGAATTCCATACCAATTTATACATTAAATCTGTGTGTATATTACTTAAGCAAATGACATTAGACATATCTCCACAGATCGAGTTGAAACTGCTTTATCCCTAAAACTAGAGAGAGCTCAATTGGCTGCAGAAAGATTAGAACATAGGCTTCACATGTTACAGACAAGTGTACAGGTACATAACGGGTTTAAACATTATGTATAACAAACACTCCAATTGTGGGACACACGTCGTAACACATATGTACGTTTTCAGAATTCCATAAAGGAGAGCGGTGAGACAATAGAAAAAAGCCACACAAAAATAGTAGAAGTGGCTCAGAATCTGACAAACCACATTATCTCGCATACCCATCTGTTACAGAAGGTTAGTTAGATAAAATATTAACAAGCTTGAATGGTATGAAATGTAAATAGGTATTAACGGTAATGTATTGTGTCAAGGTGAGTGGAGCCTACGCGGACACTTGGCGACGAGGTCTCCTGTTGGAGTCCTTGGTACGAGACGGAATGTCGCTGGTGAACGTGACACGCCGCGAATTAGCCGACGGGCTGCGAGCTCTCGCTAGACGACAGAGAGACGCGAGGATCACATCCGCTGACTTGGAAGCTAGCTTCTCTAGACGTCTCCAGGACAATACATATAAGTTTGACTTAAAGGTGAATGTAATATAAATACGTCCTTTATATTAGAAGCCATAGCTTTCAGAATCAATAAAGTAGCTCATGAGATCAAACTGACTTAAATGTCGGGTTAAGTATGAAAATTTAATCCAATATGCACAAGACATAAATCTCAAAATATATGGCTATATTAAAACGGATAATACCCTTGAACATTTTAGTAACCATCGAGATTAAACTAATATTTACTTAACGTTTGCAACAGGACATGAATATAGTGTATCCAGATATGCAGATAAAATTCAAAACCATCAGTCATTTCCAATAGATTGTATCGATATTGCGTGAAGGTTATGGCGAGAGGATAACGAGCCATGATAGATAATATTAAATGCAAATATGTATAAGCTTGTATCTTACGAAACAGGGACCTCGATATTTATTGACTTTGGAATAAAGCTGTATTTTATTACCACATAACAATATGACCTGAAACATAAACTTAGGGTTTTGCATTAAGTGCTATTACGGACGGGCGTAAAATGGCGAGCAATATATTTTATATATATTAATAAATATGAATAAAATTCTTACAGATGCAGGAAGTGTTGGACGCGCAAAAGCGGTTCGTCGATTCGTGTCAAAGGGTTCAACTAGACGACCCCACACACGTGGCTGATGTTTTAGACAAGTTGATCGACTCTCTTATAAACAAGTACGATTTGTGTGAATGTAATATGACGGTTTAACTTTTAGTGTCATAGTCATCGAAATAGAGACTTACTTATAAGTTTACAGTAATAAAAGTTAAACTTGGCAATATCTTGAGAGACGATTATTAATATATCCATTAATTACAGGACAGCTTCAACGTTTAGAGAACTACAAAACATACAAGTAAACATGCGAAATCACGACACCAAAGTTATGAAATTAATCGGGAATCGACCAATTCAGGTGAATTATTGAATTTTTTTTAATGCAAATCGTAAACTTTATATAGTCTTTAATAGTGGAATACTTTCGAAGAAGATATTACAAAAATAATATCAGTTCAATGTATTGCAGGGTGATGGCGCGTGCAAACGACTCGAGACGATATTCCGAAACTCATCGCATTCAGCGTTCAGCGAAAAGGAGTTGCAACAGCTGACTGAGAAGTTCATAGCTCTGACGAACAGAGCTGACGCAGCGCTACAGAAACTGGAAGTACGGGTTACTGAAGACGCGGTGGAGCCCGCGCCACCCTCTGACGTCACAGCCGCCGCCGACCAACTACTGCTTAAACTTAAAGGAATCAAGTATGAACTTGAATGAAAATAATCAAAACATAAATTATATAATCCATAAGAATCTTGAGCGAAATTTTTACTATAGTCTTGTAAACCACATCGCAAAGAAAACTTGGTAACACATAAGTCGAAACACCGTTATTATTCTTAATAAGTAATTTTTTTCAGGAGTGAACAAAGTATAGAGGATGACGATTGGGATGATGAACAGGATGCAAATTTTTTCGATGATAATATAAGTGACTTCTCCGAAGAGGAACAAGAGCTCATCAACAAAGCTGAAAAAAGTAAGCTCACAACAACTGAAACGCCTCTCACAAACCCACACCGGAGACATCTGCATAAACACCCATATGACCGGGGTCCTCGGTAGATATTATTCATATTTTTTATATAAATAAATTCATTTAAATAATATTAATGTTTCATTTACCTTGATAAGATAAATTAAATGAAATTTACCTAACATAATGAGAATGATTCTTTTAAATGAAATCAATATATTTAAAACAATATTCAAATGTTTTGTATAATTTCCAAAACAGTTTGATATATTTGTATTACATTTGTACTTGCAGGTAAGTTATATATTAATCAAGCCTAAGATAAATAAAAATCAACAAACTGCTGGTCACAGTAGAAAACCTTGAGAAACTCCAGTAAGAGTTAGAATAACAGTCAGTGCTCTTATAAAATTTTCTTTTCAAAACCAAACACCACCTTTATAAATTTTATTAAATCACCACACCAAGTGGACTTGGTAAAAATCATTCGAAAATTAAGCAAAAACCCATAACAAATCATTTATATTTACAACAAGACCAAATTTCAAGATGTTGAGTTTAAACCTCTATTACCAAAATTTTACATTTCCCTGAAATTGCAACCAGATTCCCGCTTCATTATAACCGAAGCAGTTGATCTGTGTTTCTCCTCTCATGTAGTATTTTATGAACATATATTTCTTGTTAGAAACACCAATACCTAATCATAATATTGTCAAACCAGGCTCAGATACTATTCAGTTTTAGAATCTCATTATCTATGTTTATAACTTACGTGAAGATTAATTAATGAATTAAATCTCACAGTAAGGTAACTGGTGACAATTATAATAGAAACTAAAATTCAAGTCACTTAAACATTAAAATGGTGAATGTGAACCTTAAACAAGCTCCACATTTAATTTGGAAACTTGAAAAATAAGGATTATTTATAATTCTTAAAGAGGAATAATAACATAATGCACAAAAGCAAAAAAGATGATATCTGAAACTTCAATTTACCCTTCTAAAAATATCAAATTGAGAAACTAGAAAATGGACTTTTAATATTCTTGACAACACAATAAACTTAATTTACCTTTTATAATAATGGACAAAGCAAAAAGAATTGTACACAAAAAACAGACAAAGGCTAAAGGCACAATTGAAACTTTCATTGGTTTCTTGTATTGTTTTAAGAAATATAAATTATAAATTCAATAGTAAAACTAACAAATAATAAAATACCTAACTTCCCTTAATGGTTTCATAAATATACACCACTTTAATAGAATGTATAGAACACATCAAGTTGGATCTTGGTATACTAGTATAGTTCTTAAGATATATTTAAAGTTTTTAAAAGGAATTTATCATAGATATTCCAGAATTTTAATATTTTTACCTATAAGAATATAAGATGATCAGTTGTCTGCTTTACCTACTTTATTGTAATCGGAGAGAAATGAATAATATATGCTTAATTTAATAGATATGTTAATTAATTGTTATCTATAGTCTGTGCCATCTTTAGTCTGTGTCATATGACTACAGAAAATACAACTGTTATTATGTGATCTTGAGTAAACAACACTGAAGAAGAATTATAGCCAATATATTACACTACTGTTCAAAATACATTATTGCAAAGATTTATTAATCCTCACAAACTTATGTATCAATAACATTAGTCAGATATAAATATTTTAATTAATAATAAATAGGTTTACATATTACTTTTTTAATCACAAAAGTGTATGAACAAATATATCTTTAAATGTTTGAAGTAAAAGAAGGTTTACAAAATCCAATCAATGCTGTGACAAATGTCAAACCAATGGTTACATAAAGTTTATTAGGAAGTTTTATTTCATAAAAAGTTTTTAATTTTATATTTTGGCTATGATTCTCTGACTTTAGATATGAATAATTGAATACTTATTCATTAAACCTATTTTGACTCTTATTAGATACTTAAGAGAAGAATATTAATGGTTTCTTATATAAGAGATTCTTATATCAAACATACCTCAAGTTTTGCACTATTTTGAAATATAGTGAGGGCTTTGTGAGTCAGTTGTGCAAAACAGGAACTCAGTGTAGCTATCTTCTGGCGACCACAGAACATAGCCACCTGGTCCTCGGATTCCAATTCTGCTGTAAATTATATAAGTTGCAAAATAAAGTTTTTAAACACTTAAATTATAAGCAAAAGATCAATATTTTAATAAATATAATCACACTTTCTTTCTTCGTATATTACAGTCTACCATCAGTTAATTGCTACATATGTAAGAATTCTAATTATACTCGTGTGTAAAAATCGCACTAATGTTTGTAAAACAGAAAGCCCTTCGCTTTAAAGGAATTATAAACAAAACATATCAATGAAACGTAAGTTAACTTTGCTTAAAGAATATGTTAAAAGTAATGAGTTCTAAGCTGAGATGTAGGACTAAGAAGTAAGATTGTCAAACATGACGTGCAGGATTTACTTACTTAAGCATGTTTCTAATTCGACACATGCTTTATCAAACTCCTTTTCCAATAAATCTAACCACCGAAATCCAACTCCAGTCGTCGCCATCTTCACAATAAACTTGTTGTTGTTATCAAACGTCAGTTTGACGTAGTGATTTAATGTTCAAAAATTTTTACCGTTTTTAGAATTCTGTTTTCCTGAATTCACTCTAAATTTAATGGGCAGTACAGATCTTCTTCTTTGGTAAATATAATAGATTATGTTCTTTATTATCTTCTTGTTTATAAACCCTACAAAATTAAATAATCATAAATTCGTTTTGATCTCTTTCTAATTATTATATTCATAAATGTTTATACGTATTACTCCTCTAGACAACTGTATTTCGTTAATATCCGCAATAAGCGTATGTCTCAAAATTTTCCTACTAATAGGTAAACATTAATGAATCATCTCCTACATCTCCTTACTTCATTATCATCACAAATATTTTGAAAATTACTTAATTTTAAAAGTGTATACTTCGATGTGTTTTCATATTTTTCGAATACCAACTTTCAGATCTTTACACATAGACACCTTTGATGTCATTTTGTTAAATCTTAATACTTTTTTGGGAAAGTTTACACGAAAGACCATTCGCTGTTTTAGTTTTGGCAACATTTATCTTAACACCTATTTGCTAACCTGACCTCCACTTTACCCACAATATCTGCAATTTCATCCACTTCATCTCCACCAAGAACAATGCTGTCGACATAATTAAGATAGCTTCGTTAAGCTTACTGCTATCAAGGGCAAAAAGAGATTTAAAAGTTATCTCAAAGTTTAATAATTTTAAATTAATGATTTTTTTATTGGCGTCTCTAGATGTAACACATACATAGAATTATGAGACACTAGAGAACTCCAAAAATTCAAACATTTGCTGGTTCCAATATATTTTTCAAAATAAAATGTAGTAATCCCTTGCTAAGTATGTAAAAATCGTGACAGTTTAAAAAAAATAACTCGCGAATTTGTTACTATACATAGCGGAAACTAATAAAACTTTAATAGCAATACAAAATGTACATTTAATTATTACAAATCATTTTAGTAAGACTTTTCTACCTTAGAAGGATCTAAAGTATAGACTTTTGCATGTCATTGAACTTTTATTACCAGAAAATTCGTTCTTATTTCTAATTTCACTATATTTTGCGTCAATAATATTATATATATTATAAAATAAGAATTTCTCCCCATGATAGCATAAAGCCTGTATGGTCTTTGTTTAAAATTTTGGTTTCTTTTACACAATTAAAATAAAATTGAAATAATAGTTATCTACGAAGACAAATCTAAATCCAAAAGAATGTTAAAATTAACATTAGAATACCTAGCTTTTTATTTCTTTGAACAAAAATTTACTATTTTGAGCAAAAAAGGATGTTTAAAATAATCGGACCATATCAAAAGAAACCTTACATAACATGTTGTGCTTTATAAGTATATTAAGGTAGACAAATTAAACATATCACACTTATATATAAAATTAATTATTTACATAATTACAAGCTATAAGCTAACGAGTACAAGTTGAACATGAAATTAGTTACAAGCTACAAACTAAAAATGCTAAAACCTATACAACTACCCATTTAAAGCTAAGCTAGATTAATTAAAAAAAGAATAAAACTATTTAAAGAATAAATTATATAGCATTATGAAATACTATTAAATCAATGGTTGTGTGTACAAAAAGTAAAATAATTACCACTTATTTTATTGTTTTTTTTTTACACTGACACCAAATTAATTTCTCTATATAATTTTATATTTGTTTACAATAAATCACATAAAACGTCTTTAGATATCTTATTATTAATTATGTATTAAGAACAGTTGATTTAATGTTGTTTTATTCAATATTACTTTTATCTATTTAATCATATTCATTTAATATAATTTTGGTTTTGAATCTTTTGATAGGATAATATTTTATAGATTGCTATATAAAGTTAAAAGATTAAAAAAAGTAAGCATGTAAAGAAGAAAAGACCAGAAATCACTTTGTACTGAGAACAATAGAAACCAAAGCATAATTTATATATTACTAACTGAAAGTTACAAATTTATGCTTGTTAACAATTGTATAAATTCCAAATACAATTTGTAAGTAAGTAAAGACCCATGAATTACAATCAATGCTTTTCTTAATTGTGTATGTGCTCCGTAAGCATTTATTTATTTAAATATTATATAAAATAGTTACTGTATTGGATACAAGAATGTGACCAATTCCTATGATTGACAAACAATGATTAAAATTTTAAAGAATAAGCAAATGACTACCAAAATCTTTACCCCACATTGATTTTATTGCATTGTTTATATAAGAAATATTCTAAAATATATAGTTTCATTTAAGTTTTACACATACCATGTCAGAAAGTCATAAAAATATTTGCTTTTGCTAGAATATTTTTTCTATATGTTTGTCTTTGTATTTCTATAGAACAATATGTATACAGGGTGACTGGTGAATTATTATCGATATTTGAGGACGTGATATTTGACGATCATATATGACAAAATAAAAATTAATATAACATAAATATTAATAAACTTCTAAGTAAAGTTAACCAAAAGTTATGTAATTAATTACGCATCGTATGAACACCCTACAGATTAGGTATACACACACACTCACACAGACGCGGCGGCGGCGTAGTGTTGTATCAGCACGCCGCCGCACGCGTCCACACTTGCAACACTTAGAACGTGTCAACACTTTATTTATTTATACGGAAATTTGGTCAAAAATTAAGTACCTATTTTTTTTACATAATTCGAATGAGAATCATGTACCGAGTATGCTCCTTAAATATTGATAGTAATTCACCAGTCACCCTGTATAGTTAAATAACTATATTTGCATGTTTGCTTGCTCCATCTATACAATAATAACCCACTCTCTAAGACATTACAAATACAGATACACACTTAAATTAAAATGTGCTAACATAATTACAATTGTGTTAGGAATTTTATGAGGTATTTAATAACTTAACAACTTTCAGACAGTTGCTATGTGCCAGTTATATATATATAACTGTGTTCAAACTACCTAGAACTTAATTCACTTAAGCATAAATAAGCCACATAGTCTATAAAAGTTTTTCATTAAGAAACAACACATCCATTCTTCTCGGGCATGTGACCGTCGGATCTTTCTATTTCCGACAACATTGCATGGAACATGTCAGTAACAGACTGAAAAACAACATCATGTATAGTATACAAACAAATATTATATATTGAATACAATCAATATGAAATGTTCTTGTTATTACAACTGATAAATTAAGTCACAGTGTCAGCCTGTGACCTTTTAATGTTGGGTGTTAAATATGTTAAGATGTATACAAAATAAATTGTTGCACAAGCTCTCTCGAATACTGAGACGAATTTGTAACAGTATAATAAAGATAGATTTTACCTCATTTCTCTTTGCGCTGGTTTCAACAAAGGCGGCATTCCATTTCTCTGCCAATCTTTTTCCTTCCTCGGTACTTATCTTTCTTTCCAAATGAAGATCTGTCTTATTGCCAACCAATACTATGGGAACGCTGTAATAAAATTGCTAATTATTATTTTGTTCAGTTATATATAAACTAACCTCGAAATTTAAAAAAAAATGTTTCTAAGTAATATACATTGAGGTATGAAAGACAATGATATTAAAAAAGATAAATGGTTACACTCTAATATAAACAAAATTTAACTTTTACTATACCAAAGAAACATAAGGTGAGCCCCAAAATCAATAAATGTATAAAATTATAATTTATTATATGATGATTTGATTTATATGTGTCGTTCACTCACTGTATTTTGCCAACCATATCCAACAGCTTGTCATATATTATTTGTACAATTTGAAAACTCTTGCTTGATGTTATAGAGTATACCAAAACATAGCCATGAAAATCCATACTGTATTGTAGAGGAAAGATGCTGTACTCATCTTGACCTGCTGTATCTACTAGTTTAACTTCATACTCAGTGGAGTTTAATCTGATAAATTTTGTAAAAGCTAAAAAAATAAATATTTATAGTAACGGAAGATATTTAGCAATTATATACGAGAATCTTTCGGAAAACTTTAAACTCTTAAGCAGCGATAGATAATAAATATAAGCTTAAAATAAATTCTTTCTTTCATCGAAATAAGTTACGTTGACAAGTCATGCACACTCGGATGAAAAACAGACTGCGGAGTTATTATGAAAAATACATACTATTTTCTATTGTGGGGTCATAAGAATCCACGAACTGCCCTTCTACAAATTGTATAATAAGCGACGATTTGCCTGCAACATTTTTTTTATTAAATATAACGTCATAACAATTACTAAGACGCACAAAAATAATACCGTCGCACAAAAACAATCACATACCGACGGATCTGTATCCCATCATAGCAATTTTTCTTTGTTTTGACGGCATTTTAGTATTCAGGTAATAAATAGACTTCAAAAAGAGAATTGAATTTTAGCAACACAAATATTTCAACTTTTCAGCATAATCCACATACATACAAACTACATAGAGATACTACATACATATGACAAACCTAGCAAGTAGCCACTGTCAATGTCGAAAGATATTTTTAACCTATCTTGTTTTTTTTTTCTAAAAACCTCTGTATATTTCAATTTAATTCGCAATAATATTTCAATAAAGCAAAAATTGTTTTAGTTACATATGTATAAAATTAAGGTTGTGATTAAACTTTTTTTCGGGTTATCTGAAAGAAAAAAATGTGTAAAATTAAATAAGTGAACAGTATAATTAGTAATTTGTGTTGTTGTTTTCCATCTAGAAGATAGTCTTAAATGATATAATTTTTTTTATTATTTTCAATATATATGTTAGTTTTTATTAACTAAATAAAATAACCAAATTAAATAATGATTTTAAAACAAAATGTTCATGTACTTTATGACATCACACTCGACCTTATATGACAACTGTCATAACAAGATTGTCACTCTAGGATTTATCAGTTGTTATCCATTATTATTTTCGATGAAAAATTTGTCGGATATTTCAAGAAAAAACTCTTCGATACCGCAATTAATATAATAGATTTCACAGTTTTTAAATTTGACACGTTTTTAATTGCTTAGGGAGGCCTAAAATAGATATACAGAGTTTTTACGTTTCAAAAACAAATACGTTTTTGTTCCACCAAAGTATAAAGAGTGAAAAATAAACAAAATGTCTGTTAATATTCCTGAGTGTCCACCAAGTTTAAAATCAATACAACATTTCTTAAAAACGGCCGCGGAGCACGATACAAGGGACCCCACGGTGGCGTATTGGTGCAGACTTCATGCACTGCAAGTTGGACTTAAAATGACCACCAAGAAAACTCCTGAAGAAACTCAGCTTCTTATGGGTAGGTAAATTTCATAATGCATACAATTCCTCCTTAATAATTCTTTATAATTATCTGTAACAGAAGCTTTACTTCAACAAAATTTTATAGTTAATATCCTTATATATTCAAGTTTTTTAATCTTTGGTTTGTTTTTAAGCTGTCATGGATTGGCTTGAACAAGCTAAGACTATGTATAAAGACAATGAAGCAATTTCAAACGAAGTGGTGGCGCAAGCACACTTAGAAAACTATGCTTTGAAACTATTTTTGTTTGCTGATAAACAGGATCGAGAACAAAATTATGGAAAGTAAGTAATTTTATATTTAAATAAATTGTTTAATTTGCTTTAGCATTATTGTAAAGACAAGGTATAAAGTATTATAAACATATTTTTAAAGGAATCTGTATAAACTTGAGTTTAAAAATATATTTTAATATTTCGTTAGAGGCTAAAAATCCAACATTAGGATGTGAGATTGACTGAATGTCAATGTTGTATCCCTCATACTGCTAAATATTTTATGTTTAGTATAAATACTATAAATTTAATAGGCTTAGAATTTAGAGGGTGATTTGTAATTTCATTTAGCTAGTACAAGTTAAAGGCAGACCCTAGCTATAGCTGGGAAATTGCCAGGTAAAAGAAGAGTATAAGTTTTAGTGGTTTTTTAGTAGGTGAATAAATTTAGATAAAATTTAAGTTTATTCTCTAAGGGGATTAAAAAAAATTTGTTTGGGACTTGGGAGCCCCTGAAACTTGAATGTGTAATATGAAAAAAGCATTCTAATAATAATTCCAAATTATATAATACGCTATGATTCATCACATTACTCATCGGTATATAAAGAACAGAATGTGATGACACTTACGTCTTTCCTGCCTTTGATTGATTTATAAATTGCGAATACACATTTATAGTATATTTGATGTATTTTCCAGAAATGTTGTAAAAGCATTTTATACAGCCGGAGTGATATATGACGTCTTAACAACATTTGGTGACCTTACTGATGAAGCCGTACAAAACCGCAAGTATGCTCGATGGAAGGCTGCATACATTCATAACTGCTTGAAAACAGGGGAGACCCCGGTACCAGGTATATAACAAAATAATTAATATACAATATGATATTTTTGTTCAGTATAGTTTTTTATAAATAAAACATTTTCATTATTCTATAATCTACAATATTGTTGTGATCAAATTTAAAATAAATTCTTGTTTCTAATTATTAATTTTCATTTTGTTAGTTATTTGCTGTTTAAATCTTTACAAACATTCAATGATAGGAAATTAATGTTTTTTTTTATTATGTATGTACTAGTTTTAATAGTCATTTTCTATATAACTTGTATGGATTCATGTAAAACTTAGTTCTTGAACAAATCATTTTTTTCTTTCAAGGTCCAATGCAATCTGATAACGAAAACCAAGATAATGAAACTGAGTCGACAGACCCCGGCCAGCCGGCTCCTTCAAATACTGATAACCTTGGCTTTACAATAAATTCACCATCAATGCCTTCTATGCCACCGAGCGTACCAACTAGCTTCAACAATAGCCTGCCAGATCCCAATCTGGCTTTGAAAGCTGCTTCACAGTTACCGCCTGTGCCATACACACCTGATCCTAACCCTGGAGGGTTTGTACCATACGATCCCTCTCAACAACCACAAACAGCTCTACTCTTTGGTGACAATTCAAGTGTGGCTCAACTCAGTCCAGATCAAATAGCCAAAGCTCAGAAGTATTGCAAGTGGGCCAGCAGCGCTCTAAACTACGACGACGTCAAGACAGCCATTACTAATTTGAGGAATGCTTTAGAACTGCTTCAGACTGGACGAGACCCTGCCTAATGTTGCATATGCAATAGAACAACAATAGTATGACTTTAATGCTTCATTATTAATGTTCAATCGATTTTTTTTTTTTATAAATTTGTAAAAGCTACAGGCTTTTATAATATATTGTTATGAGGTATGCAGTTTCATTAAGATAAACTTGTATTTTTTTTAAATATTTTATTTAAATATACCTATATTTTTGCGATGATGTGATGTGGCTCAATATAATTATTATATTTAAAGTAAACATGATATTAATATAAACCTTTTTGGCCGATATGTAGCGCTCAGACTTGTATCACCGTAATTATATTGATTTATTCTCTGCAAACTAATTTTGTTTGATTATTTTTAAGTATGGTGCATTAAAAATAACGAAACCGCCGTCTTGGGTAATCGGCTATTGGTTTTATAATTACATTAATCATGTCAACTTCCCATACTTTCTCATTCAAAAAAAAATTATACAAAACTTATTCAATCGCTTGGAAGATATTCACTAAAAAATGTAGGACAAAATTTCATCTGAACATTCCTACATTTCAAGTTACATGAAAGCTTTTAATAAACAAATAATTATAATTTATAAACTAGATATATGATTTACTTATATCATGTTACTTGTTTTATGTCACAACAAGATAAACACCTAAAGTGTTTGGGATATATAATATATAAATATATATCATATACTTATGTAATATTTTAAATGTCTACTGCGATTAATAATAAAATAGTATTTTATCAATAATTAATTATTTGTGTAACACACATTTGTTTAATTTTTAAATAACGAAAGTATGTATATTGAATATTCTCAACAGCTTTTACATAACTTGTAAGTTTTCGTCATGGCTTAGCTTGTATAAATTGGCTTACGTTACTGTAATAATATTTATATATGATCTTTATAAGAAATAACACAAGATTAAATAAAAATATATGAACTGTTGCTTTAATTTTAATATTTCTCTTAGAACTATTATTTCACGGCTGTAGATATAACTTTAAAGTGTGTTATTACTCTCAGGAGAATATAATGGATTTAAGACTTAATGCATTGTCATTTAAAATATCGTAACATTGTCATTTAAAATATCGTAAGATAAGCAACCTTTTTGGATCGATATTATGTGAAAGACGACAGAAAAAGGTATTATGAAATAATCAAACTTATCAAACACTATCAATTACTTTTTATCTTCGGTTCTAGAAGACGTAATTTATGTCAACTAAAAAACTATTTTTTTATTATATTTAAAAAAATTATATTATAATCCTCAATTACTTTTTTCTTAATGAAACGATAGACTTTTGTCATACATAATCTTTTTACGAAACAGTATCAACTATCTTAAATGCACAAAAAACTGAAATGATTTCATTCTATTTATAAAAATTTGGACTTCTGATGCCATTAAATTTATAAAATTTCTATAAACAAAATTTTTTGTTAGTTAGACTAATAGCACACCAAAGCAATGTTCATTTCAAATTATTATTTTCTTCCATCAACCTTACACTGTTTTTCAATCATTGGACGATATATTTAAAATAAAACCACAGGATCCACTATTTATACCATTTATTCATAAATCATTATTTCAAACACGACACAATATAAAACAATTCCCTAGTATATGATATAATTAATTACTTCATGCTAATGGCTAGTGTCTAATAAATGAAGCTTATTTGTTAACGCGGGACAAGACAACACCGAGTGTGCTTATAAAAATCTACTTGTGTGCGTGTTAATTTATTTGTGTGTGTGTGTGTGTGTGTGTTATATTTGTTGAACGTCGAGTTGTCAAGTCGACCAGTATTTTTGGCGGGTTGTATCGTCGCTAGTGCAGCATTATTCATATTGTAACTAATTTAATGTTGCATTCTGTTGCTATCAAATATATGTATTGAGCAATGTTCTCTATATATAATAATAACGTGCAATTCATTATCCTCTACATAACTCTACTCTCACACGACACTCGCACTCCCGTAATGACTAAATGTTACTTAAATTAATATCACTTTTAGGTACGATTGTTCTTTGTTGACTGGATTCTTTTCAGTTTAAAATTATAATAATAAATAATCATTACTTGAGGTTTCAGAGAAATTAATCTATTAAAAGAAAATTTGACTAGCAATAAAAAATCACAGTAAATTTATTAAAAAATTAAGCAATCCATTCTTCTGCGTTATCTTATGAAGATTCCAATGAGGTTATACTAATATAATAATGTTTTTAGGAGAGTGTGTCTGCATCCTTATAATGTTTTAGTCTCTCTTGAGTCCGTTCCCATTCTGTGTGGTCGCCGCCTTTTCCATTTCCTCTCGTCTGCTAGTCTGGTACCTTGGAATAAAATCATCATTTATTCAATACGTTCAACGTATGAGACTATTTTTAAAGTTTTATACCGCGGAAATATCTAATAACATTATTTACGGGACAAGTACTAGTTGCGATGTTATTTTATGGCAGTTAGCCAGATCGATAAAAGTCCTTGTGATAAAACTAATTTTATTTACATAGCACAAATACTGTTCGGCCCCGCGTCGTTCCTGTGTATGTCTTACATCATGTACGGGAGGTTACAATGGGATATATTTAATTTAATCGTATATAAGTTCAGGGTCGGGTAGACCATGTGCCACATTACAGTAGATTTACAAATGATGACGTCAACACGGCCCACGACCGTGATCATACGACCGTTACTAATTCCATCTCGAATTCGTTATATCTCATGAAATGTTATCATGGTATATTTTTGAATATTTTATATAAACATTCTATTCTAAATGTATGTATTTACCATACAACGAGTCTTCCAGTGAGCATAAAGAAGAACACAAGAGCGGGGGCACATCGATCGAATGGATCGCCCACCATCACGTGAGAGTAGGCCGCCAGTATCATCAACAACACCAGACCTACATTCGCTGTGTTCTTGATTTTATCTATAATAATATAAACACATACAATTATCAAATTTACTTAAAATATGTATCAAATAAATATAAATATAACTCACGGCTCGGTATTATAGCCAGAGCTAGTCCGAACAATATCTCGAGCCCACCGACGGTGCGCCGGTAGTATTTGGAAGGTAGTTTGAAATCCAACATTTCCGTGAACGGGAAGACCTTAGCGTACCTCACATACTCCTTTCTCTGCAAAAATATATATCAATAATTATATTGAAAATGGCTATTCGAATAACGCTTGTAATGTAAATTATGCGAAAACACATTCTCTATAGTGGAATGCTTAATTAAAGCGATGAGCAGAATTTGTTTTTCTCTAGAAATACTTTTAAACATATGTACCCATAAAATAATTATAGATGTCTATTTAATTTATTCAATCAAAATTATTCAACAGGACAGTGCGTTGGAAAGAGATATTATATTAATTCCAACAACAAAGTATGCTACTTTTAGCCACAATAATTTCTACTGAAAGCTTAACGATAATAACTCTTAACCCTGTAATAAAATTTGGTTGTTCAGAAATACAAAAATGAGTACGGAAAAAAAGAGAAAATTTCCAGCTCCGAAAACACCGTTGCCACAAAAAATGTTATAATAAAAACAATTTTTATTACGCTTTAGTATAATGATACAGCAGTCTCTGATCCAACAGATAAAAGTTTCTTTTTATTATCTTATTAATTCCAGAGTCGCTCTTAAAATAATATGCCATGTAAATCCAGTGTCTTGCATCTTTATTTTTGGGCAACTCTTACTAGCAAACGTGAGCAAAGAAAGATGACTTCGTTACCGAGGGGTTTTTAGGTTCGAGGTTTTTGAAACACGAGAAAGAGATCATATTGAAACGAACGATTGAAGGGATCATATAGCTGACGACTTCTTTAAGTGTCTATAGCCTAAAAAAACGGGTATTGCCGTGTACAAACTATGTCTTTTGTAAAAATTAGAATGTGGCCCATCTGTTGAAATATGTATTGCTTTTCCCAAAATTCATTTTACTATGAATACAAATTAAGAAACATAGGTCCGGCGGTTCGTGTACCGGTGCTTCAGATATAAAAATCAAGTCTCTTTGGAATGTAAATAACGCTATTTAATAATAAAAAATGCCTAACTGTATACTGAAACCAAAGTAGCGAAGCTTTGAAAAACTCTTCAATGGGAACTGCGAATCCATAGAAGCTCGAGTTGATTACCTACTGAGTACTGTTGTAATCATTAAGCTTACAGTAGTGATAAAAGTTCCTAAAAAAATTTACACGTTTCGATCATCACTAAATGAGATAGCACTTTGATATATAAGTAATGTGTGATATATTGGCTTATAAAAAATATTAATAACCTGACATTAAAACCATTTATTTTTAGTACATCGTTTTTTTATTGAACATTGATCTGTTTATTTAACTACTATAGGTATTTGAGAGTATTTGGTTATGTAACGTGAACACCGTCGTTACTACATTATACATTTTTGTAACAGAATGGAAAAACAATGACAATACCTAAATTTATTTAAAGAAAAACTAACTGGTCCGCATGGTATAAGACGAATCATTTCAGAAGTGGTATGAATTAATATTTTATGTATTATTTATAACATAAGGAATATATGCATATTCAAAAGGTTAACATAAGCCAAAATTTTTCAACCGCATTAGTCATTACTTGAAAACTACAGGATAGACGTGAAACTAATGCAGAAATTATTAAGAAAGAATCAGTGACGATAAATGATAATATGAAGCTGAGAATGCATAAATATGTTTATACATGTTTTAACTTTTAACCATTGCAATAATAAATAATAGTGTGCATTAAATCGAATCATTTCTGCTGTCGCAACGAGACAGCACTACTGGGCATTAGGCGTCAGGCCAAATACCAAAATAGAAAGCCACATTGCTCCGCCACGAAAAATGTATTGCAATAAGCTATTTTTTCTGTTTTATATTCAGTAATACGAATGAGGGTCGGGTTATAACATTAAACTTACCAGATCTTTATGTAATTCTTTTGAAATTAAAGGTGTCAGCTTGGTTATGCCAACAAAAATAAAAAAGATTCCCAAAAGTACTGACAAGCTTTTCAATACGATCGATGCCATTTTTGCACACAAAAAATCAATTCAATTTGAATTTAATTTAGGGTTACGTTTTTAAACCATTTCACTACACTATTAAATCAAAATGAGACACAAGTTTCATTCCTTGTCAAAAAATTCGAAATATATTTTGTAAATGTAAATCACTGAATCAGCACCATCGTAAACAATTAAAACAATGATACGTTATTCATAATTGTAAAATCCTATTCACACACCACGGCGATTTTATCAAGATGCAACTTTCGCGCCGGCGCGAAAAAAATCTATATCTACCAAATATTTTGTTATAAATATGGTTTGGATTCGGATTCTTTGGCACGCAGTGAAATTCATTGCCATATGCAAAATAAAAATGTTACATGTGTTTCACCAGTCATAATTAAATATTAAAAGGAATATTGTAAATTTTGTTGAAGTTACTGCATTAAATATATTATATCAATAAAAATTTCATACTTTACCTAGCATATTTCCCACTAATCAGTCAGAAAAATCTAATCAAAATTTTAAAAGTATAGTTTAGACAAAATGAAGAAACATTCTACAAGTCGTGCAAAATTTTTATTTAATGTTCTAATCTGCCCTAAATATACAATTTTAATGTGGTCAAAAAGTTATTAGTTATACCTTTCAGTTATAAGTCACTACATTATATTTAATAGTTTGATAGGATTTCTTAAGAACAATTTTTTCTGCTAACAGCATATTTAATTCAATGTTCATTACTGAATTGGCTCACAAATTAAAGCATAGTCATTTCTTTTGTTTTTAGTCGGGTTTAATATTTACCTAATATAATAAAATATAACATTATTAACAGTATTCTTATATAAAATCTTTAATTGAAGTTAAATGTTCACCTCCCTACAATAGGTATTTTTTTAAGATTAACTTTCTCCTGTGGGTATTTAATATTAATAGTTATCTATTATGACATAATTTTTAAGTAAAAAAATATGTAGAAAAATCTTCATTTACAAGCAGTACCTATTTTGGTTGTGATCGCAGTCGCAGCAACAACTAATTTTGATAATTACTAATTAGCATTAATTTAATGCCATGTGGAGTTAAGTAACCCAAGATTTCGTGATTTTTAATTAGTCACCTTGTTTTGTCAAATTCTTATTAAGTAACATATGATTTCTTTTGATAAATTCTCTACTACCTCAGGTGAACAAAACATTTCCAAAATCTTGGAATATATTTTCATCCTACTTCCTACTAATATTATAATTGCGAATGTTTGTGAGTGTGTGTGTATGTTTGTTTGTGTTGTGAAATGAAATAACAATTTTCCTTTTCAAATAGGTATAAAATAAAAAAAAATCTTCATCTTTTAATCACCAAACGGAATGTTACATAAAACAAAGCCTTCTGGTGGCGAAGCGGAGTTCGCCGGGTTTACTAGTATCGTATAAATGTAAATAATGAGCCCAATTACATCCCAAGTCCACTCAACCATTTAATTAATAATAATGATAACATTAATCTTTATTTTAATAGCTGAATTAAAGATCAGTCATGTACTCTGAGAAACAAAATATGTAATTTTCTGTATGGCTCTTCTTAAAAAAATTCCTGCACCTGAGTTTTATTGTTGAGCTTCCTTACAATATAATGTTAAAACATAGATCATACAACAGAATACCTGAAAACAATACATTCCCATTATAATCATTGAAGTGACATGAAAATTTCAGACATCAAGCCCTTCAATTTGATTCATTGAAGTGTGATATGTCACACAAGTACACATTAAATAAAATAATATAGCTTAATAGTGAATTACATTTTTTTTTCACTTGTACTGTTGTTCCCATTACTGTCTATGACAGTTTAACCACAGAGGGTTACATTTCACTAATTACAAGAGATTTCTTCCAGTTGGTATTATTTATATTTTTTTGCCTATAATATCCACTGGCCTTATATACCTAGAATATTCTATCTTTATACCTCAAAATTCAAATATTTGGATTTAAATTTGATAATAATAAATTGGAACTGTCACATTTTATAAGATTCTTTATTTTTTTTCTTAATACATAAACCCATATTTAACCCACTTAAGTCTATAAAAAAATTATTCACAAATAAATTAATTATATTATAACTATGAAAAGGTTTTAAAATAAAACAATATTTTCTACATGTAATTCCTTTTTTAAAGTATGCTCAAAGTCTGTCATGAATTGTTGTGACCCACATACAAGGAACTGGTCACTATTACTTGGTTTTATTTCCACCAAATCATTAGCTCCGAGTTTTCTTTCTATTATTGGTTCACTATACATGACTTTATTATTATTGTCACTCCCTCTATCACTCAAGTATACATGGTATTGAAAATTCCAATATGATTTAAATTCATATAGCTCTCTCCGGAATAAAATTTCATTTAAACTCTTACAGCAAAAAAACAGAACCAATTTGGTCATATTGTCTTCATCATTTAATATTTGATCTATGATTGAAATAAAAGGTGCAATACCTGTTCCTTGCGCAATCATAACAATTCTTTTGAATTTGTTTTCTAAAACATTGTAATGGCCATATGGTCCTCTCCATAATGTCTCATTCCCTTTTTCTAAAGTAAATAAATATTGTGACACTAATCCCTCATTATATTTCTTAACAACAACCAGAAAATCAAAATCCTCGTTACAACTTTTTTTTAATTTAATGGGAGTATATGCCCTGGAACATGACATTTTTCCGTTATTATATTTCAGAAGGAAATGGTCACCAGCATTCCAAAAAGTTTTTGTATGAGAATCAGTTTTAATCTTTTTGAATTTTAAAATTCTGAGATTTACATTCAATTCAACAACATCGCTAATAAAGAAAGATGTATATTCAAGTTGGGATATGCCGTTTTCTTCTGTCTTAAATAATTCGTCGTTTTCTTTACACTTTTGGTACAACTGTAATTGCTTCTCAAATACTTCAAATATGCAAGGATTGCAACCACTGTTACAACAATCCTCTTTATTGGGTTCTATTGGTGGTTTCATCTTCAACATTTATAAATTTACTATCTTTCACAATTTTACATTATAAATAACGTCCTGATCAGTTCTTAATCAAGGCATTATCAATTAGCCATACACAAATACACAAAGTCTTCTTCTCCTCTCCCTCGATTAATGAAAAGACACAACAGCAATTAATAGATTTTAAATATTTTTATTGCCACTGACTGATTTATCTAGAAGCAATTTGTTAAATTTTTTCGTTGCTTCGTAGGTCATTGTTGACATGGTGATTTGACAGACAATTGACAACTAAAGTGACAGATGAAACATCAAAACAAACAGAAGGCATTTTTTTAAAATAATATGGCTGAATAGAAAAAACTAATAAGAAACATAAATGATTTCGATTTGCATAAATAGAAGATGTTACACATTAAATCTTATCTAAATGCCAAATATTCTGCCGTATCTGTTTGGCTTCAAAGCAAGTGGTACATAGAAGATAAAATTTTACATAAGGGAGTTATAAAAATATACTATAGGCTTTTTATCAATTACACTTTTATATGAAAATATTTAACGTAAGAATTGGTTTAATCTCATTAAAAATTTCATCACAATCCACTAATGGTTTCTAAGAGCAAAAAAAAAAACTTTACAAAATATCTTAAATGATTAAATAAATTAGGGAACTAATTAACTACACCTCATTGAATTATAAAGGTACTTTGTATAAATATATATAATAATGCATTATTTGATAGAAAAAGTGTTAGCGTCATGGACTTAACGCTATAGCAAATGACACCGTACACCATACATGATAAAGAATGCTCTCTATATTTTATATTTATACCATAACTTTAATACAGTTTCTTTTATCTTCACTTGTAGAAATGATATTATTTGAAATAAAATTATTTTTTACTTTTCTAACAGTTATCCTATTGTAAGTTTACGAGTATACTTTTTGTTTTTTCTTAAAGTTGATTACGAGGCAATTCAAAAGTTGCGAAAGCTTTTGAAAATTTGTAGCGCAATTATAAATATTTGTTATCGAAATGAGTAATTTTTATACTCTACATTATTTCTTAATTTTTTTGAAAAATATCAAATCATATTACAAAGAAAACACTGAAATAAACATCCAGGAACATTAAAATAATATTTTTAAACTATGCATTAACTGAAACTTAAGTGACCAGCGCCCCCTACACTGACGCCAAACAAACACCGGTTAGCGGCGAACGCACTCGCCCGCCATAATAATCGCTTGGGCTATTGCTATATCGTTGCCTGTAAACAATTCTGTAAGTACAAGTGATATTTATTTTTTTAGTTTTAAATATTTTTAAGAAATATCAATTAAACTTTAATTTTGATTCCAATGTGCAATTAAGAATAAAACGTTTAAGCTGTTAAACTAGGCATTTTTCTTAATTGCCTAATGGCAGACTCCATTAAATTGGCTTGGGTTTCACAAAATAGAAGCTGTTACCGTTTGAGACAACTTTTGAACCTTGTAAATATTCAATAATTTTCTTATTAAGTTTTGCTATTATATGATATTATTTTGATAATCTAATCGTTACTCGAATTCCTTAAACAATCGTTCCTAAAACCCAAGCGTTGCTGGGGCTAATGACTCTTAGTGTTTGTTTATTTTTAATAACATTTTTGTTGTTTTTCCATTCTCTTTTATTAAAATTTTGTTTTTTTACCTTGGACCTTGTTTACTGATATGGCATATTGTTTTTCAGATTTTCCCTTTGTAGGACCTATTAAAATTTATTAAAATGTCTGACGACGGTTCAACGGCAGTGGAAAAAAAAGGACGCGGCAGACCCAAAGCGAATGGAACACAAGCGGTAAATTGTCCATATTTTTCAATAAGTATTTTTGCCTTAATTATAACTTTATAATATATTGGTAAACATTATTAATAGGAAGCCAAAGGAGATGCCAAAAAAAGAGGCAGACCCCCTGTAGCTCCAGCCAAATCAAAAGAATCGAAAAATTCTTCAGATGATGAACAGGCGCCAGTAGCCAAAAGGGGTAGAGGTAGACCGAAAGGTTCAAAGAAAAAGGCAGCTGCTCCTAAAGCTAAGGTAATATTATTTTTACAATAATTACCTTCAATTAATTTTAAATACTATTATTTAAGTTTATTTAATATTTTAGGGTGGATCTGGTGAAGGCCGTGGTCGTGGTAGGCCACGCAAGGACGCTCCACCACCTAAAAAGGATGCCGGCTCAACCGAAGAAGAGCAAGAAGATGAGGAAGAAGAAGAAGGTTCTGACCAGTAAACTTATTTGTCTCATAAAACTCACTCTTAGTGTAATTTGTTTGTCACTATAACCCCTACCGACACAAATGATAGGAAGGAAAATGTTCTATGAAAAATGCTTCTGCCATTCATTCTACTATTGTAAGGGGTTATTTTTACAATACAAGTCTCAAAATGAGATCTTATCCAGACTTTATTCATGTGGGTGTGACATATATTAAAAAAAAAGAATTAGCAGAATTAAGAAGCCTTTTTGTGATTTTTATTGCATTTACTTGACCTATTTTACAAATGATCTCACATGGATAAATTTTGGTAAAATTAGCTCTCCCTAGAATCGTACAAGTCTTAAGATATAATTTGTAAGATCCTTTTTTTTTGTAGATTTATTCTATTTCTATTATAATAGGTATTTTGTAATCTCTTGATTTATACTATAAGAAATCAAATACAATTTTGTAGATTTATTGATTTGACTTGAAAGTCAAGTATTATTTTTCTCTAATAAATATTTCAATTTGATTTACTCTTTTTTTTTTTGAACTATTTTGATGATTTATTTGTTAACATGAGTTATTACTGCATGTCAATGTACAGAGGTGTTACATGGAGATAATTAGTAGTTGTTTAGTAGTGTTCAGATTTTGATTTAAAACATTTGGAGCAGACTGAAAAGTAATATTATTTCGAAAATAAAATTTACTGTGTGTATGTGCGTGAATGTAAAATTTTAGAACAATATATTAAATAAATCTATGAATATGTGAATTTTCTTTGAATGTTTACAAAAAATCCCATTAGATTCACCACATGTAGGTATTAAAAAGCAAATTTGTATTTATAATGTCATTAAAGTTAACTGAAACTTTTTTTGTCTAAAGTTGTAAAAAAATATGTTTTTGTTTTAAAATTCTTAAATTCTTTCTTATATTATGTACTTTATTATTATTTAATGTATGATTACAAAGTAGAATTGCCTATTCTCAACTCACACTTAAGATCTTTTCTTATTTACGAAAAGTATTTTTCCTTGAAAAAAATATATGCTATAAGTGAATTTTATTAATTTAAATTATAAAGTGCTCATAATATTTTGAAGCTAACGAACCTGCTTAAAAATTATCGTTTGATTGGATATTCTATAAACATTTCTAAATCAAGAATGTGTTTAAGTTTTTGTTTTATTTAACGTTAAAATATTTTCTAAGTGAGTTTTAACATAAAAAAAATGTACAATGCTTAAATTATTTTATTTTTCAACTTTATATCTTTCATTAAAGTAGACTTTCTAAAAACAAAAATTTAAATATTTAATGTTTATATTAAAGCATAACTTAAGTAAAATAACTCGATCTGATGAAGTAAAAATCTTTCTTGATATATTTTTTTATTGTAAAATAAAAACACCCTATGTTTTAATGTAGTACAAGTAAATCTAATATTTTTTGCTAAACGCTTCGAATAAATGATTGTTTACAAGCTTCATCCACTTGTTAATAAGCTGTGGTAAAAATAATTTGGTTATGGTCTTGTATACCTTGTCTATGGTTTCGTCATTCTAAGTGTGTTGCTGTCCGTTTGTTGTTCGTGTATGGGTACGCTCGTATGTACTTCGTAACTTCAGTGTTGTTGATACCTGCGCATTTAAATTTTTGTAAACTTCTTTAATTGCGATTATTTAAAAGTTGTGTTCGAGAAAGAAGATAAAAATAATATTACATTATATACTGTAAACTTCTTTTTCTATATAGAAGCGTAGAATCCGTTATTTCGACATTATTTGTAAAAGTATTAAGTGATGAGGTGTTGCACTACAGGTTCCGTCAAAAAGTTTTGAAAGTTGGATAACTTTGAAAAATTCCCTTAAGTGGTATTGTGTTGTGAAATGTTTGAATTTTGGCGTATTTTTTCGTGTGAAGAAGATGATAACAATTTTAAAGGTTTGTAATAAATTATTTGAAAGGGTTATGCAAAAGCTAGGCTCTTGATAGATGTGTTTTTAATGATACATGATAAGTGACATTTTATTGTTACTACTTTTCACTATATGGCTATATAGTATATATATCAGTAGTATTTATATTATGTAGTACTACTGATTGCTACTTGTAGAATATACTTACAGAATATATTATATCTCATTATATAGTCACTTTAACCGTCATGTAAAGTTCATATATTTCTTATAAAACATTCATTATATCTTTTTCAATCCAAAATAATACGTATTTTTTAAATTCCTTCTATTGATTATACAAAATTTATATATACATAACATGTAGTTGCCATAGATAAAAGTTAAATCTTGTTTTTGCACCTATCTTTTATTTATTTTATACATATATCTATAAAAAAATGAATAATCCACTTTTTTATATAAGCATTATATTATTTATTTAATAATTGTTCTTATTTATTAGTTTTTAATTCTCATTTAATTGCATTATTATTTATAAAAAAAAAGTATGCATTGTATGCTTAATTGTGTGCATAATAATAAACTGTGATATTTTATAATTAACTTTGGTTTAGTATTGTGTAGGGGATGGGGTACTCGATTATCAATATTAGTAATTATAATAGTATTTTCAAATTATGGTATTAAATTCTTTTATTAGTAAATTTTATTTATTTACAAATAAGCTGTAATAGGTGGAACACTATATTAGCACCTATAATATTCTAAGAAAATAAAATATGCATTTCATCATTATCAGTATTGGCGATCATAACAATTTTCTCTGTTACATTTTAAAGCAACTTTAGAATATGATAAGAACAGGAGAAAAAAATTTAAGGTATTTAATAAGAGAGATTTGTCTTTAATAACCAACATAGGTTAACGTCTCATCCTTTTTTACCTCATATAATAGTTTTTTCAAAGAATTTCCAATTTTAGCTTTATGTTTTAAGACTGTAAAGTGACAGAAAGATTATAACAATATCATCCATCTATAATACTAAGAACTCAAGATATGATTTGAATAAAATTGATTAATTATTGCTATAAAGAATAAAAAGTTACCTAAAATTTATTTCGAAATTTAATCAATTATAAACGTCTTGAGGCTTGTGAAACTAAATTTCCATTTCATTTTGAAATAAACCTTTTTTCATGTTGTAATTACCAGTTGATTGAAATTGCTTAATTAAATATCTATACATATAATTCGTACATTATATTTTGTACCATTGCTAAATAACATGAATAAAAGCGACTTATCATTATACTAATCATTTACATACATATGATATAAGTATAGCTCAAAATCATATAGTAGTTATGATTTAAACTTCTAGATGTTTAATTTATGATCAAAAAATTCTGTCGGTGAATCCTGAATCCTGATGGAGTCACGACACGTGCCTCGATCGTGTGTCGTACTCGTGTCATTGTATTGACCACTCACTCACACAGACCCTATGGCCTACACCGTGCGATGCATTCTAATTGGCTTTATATGGAATTTACGCCGCGCGTAATGTAGATAGCGTGATAAAGTACCTTCTTTTCCTAACGCTTAGATAATATATGAATTACGATTGTTATTTTCGTATACGGATATCATATTTTAATCAGCTCAAAGTCTTAGATATATTTACATGGAAATAGATATATCACTATTTTTGGACACAGAATAGGTACTTTTCAATATTATAGCCTTTATTGTATAATAATCTATAAATAATCGCTCTGACGTTCTCAGACTACTATACTAAATTAGATTATTTTTAAATTTGATAACATCTAATATTGCTGACGTATTTCTGATTTACTTTAGACCGGACAATGTATTCATAAAAAACTTCACGTTCTGTTGTCGATTATTGACAATTAATTTTTTTCATATATTAGTACATTGTACTCTTATTTATTATGAAACATTGAATAAATCGAGATACAGCGATCCTTATTATACTCCCCGTTATTGCCTCTATGAGTCAGTCAGTCTTTCATTGTTGATTGTTCCAAAATCCCCACTCAGACCTCGGTATTAATACAATGCCTCTCATTAAACTATAATAGTAACAGATTATTTTAAAAACATTTTAAACTCGAACACTGAAAAAGGATTTTTCTAGAGTTTTCTACAATAATCAGATGAAATAAATCTAAATATTGTCAATTTCGTTGTATAACCAATCGTCATAAAAATGACGTCATGATATTACGGGGAAAGTGAGATTAACTTAAAATGTATCGGATCCATTTGTCGCGCGTTTACAAAATACATACATACGAAATTATATCGCATTCATATTTAGAAATTAACGACATTTAACAAAAAACATAACAAAAAAATACATACGAATTGAGAACCTCCTACGTTTTTTGAAACGTTTAAAAATGGCCCTTTTCAAGAGTTCAACAAATTCGAGAAAAAAGTGATAAATTAAAAAAAATGATTTGTTCCTGTAAATATCGCTTAAAATATTAAAGATCCTTAGGAACCATCTATTTCTGACATTTTAATTATTTATTGTTTGGCGAAAACTACTCCCTTTAAAAATTGTAATCGTCAAGTTTTATAGTTTATTTATGACTGTTTTTTTTTATAATTATTTTTTACTCTATAATTAATGATGGATTTTGTTTTACTGTGCCAAAATTTCGTATAACAGAGTAACAAATGGGTGAAATAAATATGAGGAATGCTTGTTTGAATTCGCAGGAAAAGTTACGTAAGTTAAAGTTATCATATAAAATCTATTATTAATAGTTTTTTTATTAAACCTATATGTTGGCGATAAGTTATCTGTACTTTGTACAATATATTTGAATTACTCTTTAACGACACCTATATGTCACTAGAGATATGTCGGTTATCAATTAAGGACATAATTGCAACTGCGTTTGTGTGACCCTATTACTAAGTTCTAATTTGTCTATAAAATGTTATGTAAAATTTCCAATACAATGTTTTATTTATTTGTTCCAGATAGCATGGTGTAGATGTTCACTACATTAGCGGCTGTTACGTAAAAGGAAAACATTGAGTATTTTTACGGTAAGTTTCA